CGGACTCGCGCTCCCCGGGGGCAAGGCCGGTCACCTCCTCGGGAAACAAAGATTTGCCTGGTTGTTTGACTTCGGGTGTTTCCTCTTTAGAGAAGGAAGTACAAGAGCGGAAAAAGGGAGAAAAAATAAAGGAAAGTCGTTTTTTTAGTTAAGCAGCAGACAATTCAGCATCAACTGCAGACGCGTGGGACTGAATTCGCGCCGCCAGGACCACCGAGGCGTTTACTCAAAACGGCAAGCACGCTGATGACTAAAATTTCTAAAACTATAACTAGAAACCTAGTTTGGAAATACAACCACTTTGTCAAACAATCTTAAAGAGTCTATTCACATATGGTAGAATTAATGAATTCTAAGTCCTTTGGTAGGTTTTAATTATAAATAATTACAAATTATAAATCCCCATTACATAAGCTTTCAACTCGACCTTCCTATAGCCATGCACGCACGCCGTCATCGAGCAGGTTTCTAAAGCAAGCCATGCAGAAGGTTTATAAAGTGCAGTGGGCGGGGCTGAGGTCGAAGAATACCGCAGAAGCAAACTCGACTCACGGTCACTACAGTTGGAGTACTGACACAAGATATAAACTGTTATTTTTCTTTAGCCTATGATAATGCAGAACTAGTGTTTTGGTTTGTTTCTGAAGTAAATTTATAGACCAATAATATTTAAAAATATAACATGTCAGGTTTTTGAAAATACATCTTTCCTCACAAATCAGCTGAAGTGATAACACTTTCTGTAAACCTGATACATTTAATTAGCAATCTAATATAACTTTTTTGGAAGCTATTTTCAAAATTCAAGAAAAATTAATTAAAATATTCTATAAAAACTAAGATGGAAAATTAAATAATGTCTCATAAATAAAACAGTATTTGCAAATGATTGTATTTCATATGGGAATTCTAGCTTTGACTTTCAATCTTTAATTTTTATCATATTCTTTACATTAGTAGCAATAACACAAACTAAATAGACTAGAGATTTTCTCCATCTCAAAGGCAACGTTTCATGTTTTACATTGGCATAGAATCTCTTCAGAAGAAAATTGTAGCTGCACTTGTAAGAATATGTCACGACATTCTAAAAACTTTAGATAAAACTTCTAGATATATTATTGATTGAAATGTACATATTTTTAGCCCAGGGTAAAGTCTGAGTCATAATTTCACAGTATTAAATAAACATTTCATCTTTATGAAATTGCATAACATTCATAAATTTTAAAGATAGATTTCATAAACTGTTGCATTTTTATTATTGTTTGAAACATCAAAATAAAATAATAATTCTGAAATACAAAAAACAACTTACCCTTCAGTTTTGAAAAAATATGAAAGTAAGAAGCTAGTGTGTTAAAATTAAATAATTGAAGGCAGCTGTTATGTGACCTGAATTTTTCTTAAGCCAGCAGTGACTAGTAGAGGCAACTCCATACCATGCTTACTCAATGCATCTTAACAAAAAGTGAAAGTATGTAAAAGAGAGCTGTGACCACTTCTTTTTTCCACCCCGGTATTAGTTATCATGGTAAGTGTGTTCATTTCACAGGTACGACAACAAAAACTCATTTGAGGCGCTCCTCGTACATCCCGGTGCGGAAATACATCTAACAGGTGCTCAGTGGATACCGCAGGGGTTAGTGAGCACACTGCACGGCACTCTCTCAGTCGGAGTCATTTGCATCGTCAAAGGCGTAATGACCGGTGCCTTCACGTACTGTACTTTTGACCGCATGTATAATTCAGATAAATTTTACATTTAAAACAAATAGCAAGATCTTAAAATTCTAAAATGGTACACTTACTTAAAGTTGGTTTTGGTTTGTCTAAAAAGTAAAAAAGAAAAGAAAATTAGTGATAATTTTCTATCTATAGATAAAATATCAGCCATTTTAATTTCCTGTTTCTGTTTGTTCAAGTTAAAATAGCCAAAGGCTAAACTTACAATTAAAATGAGCAAAAAGCAATGCATTCTGAGTAATTTTAAAGTAATATTCCCAATGAATTCCCCAAAGGAGAAGTTGTAAAGCTTCAAAATATAGATTCTTCATGGTCTCTTTTTTATTCTTGTAAAACCTCATCTTTGATTTGATGCAATATGAATGCTCATGATAATCTGAACTCCTTACTGTTTTTTAATGGCATAAAGTGTATGTTTTATTACTGTTTTTAGAGAATATATATTAATATTAATTCATATTAACTATTTAAACTCTCCCAATCTAGTTTTTGAATGAAGAAGCTGACTTTATAAAATCTTAAGAAGAACAAATAAGTGGTAGGTGAAAAATGCAAAGCTATACCATTTAAATACATGATCTGTTTCTCCAATATAACTTAAACAGTAGCCAACATTTGTCCATGACTGTGAAGAATTTGAATCACTTAAAATTAGGTCAACTAACTAATTCATTAACAGTAGGCAATACAAATTGACACAATTTTTTTAGAGAACAATGACAAAATCTATAAAAATTACATTGAAAATACCATTTTACTAAAAAATGTTACTTTAGGAAATTTTACCCCAAAGATAAATTCACAAAACTAAACAGATAGGTGTATTTATTATTGTATATCATTAAAGAAAGCTTGTTAGATAACTCAATCATATGTCAACCAGAGACTAGTTCAGTGTGCACAACTATATAAGATAATACTATTAATGAGATAAATTTTTATCTACTGATATAAAAAAATCTTCAAAATACCCTGTTCAATAAAAAAATTTAGGGAAAGGGCTGTTTATACTATGCCATGATTTGTGTAAAAAAAGTGGATATATATATCATTTGTATATATGTATTTGTATATATATTTATACATATATATGAAAAAAAAAGAAGAGGGAGGGATATTTTCTCAGCCTCCTATGTGCCTTAGTGTTTGAGCCATGCCAAATATTATATATATATTTAAAATGGATTAATGTTCTTAAAATAATTAAACTACTATACACTGAGATAATTTCTATTTTAAGAAAATATATCTTGTTGAAATTCATGATTAGTTTTCAATGGAATACATTATGTGCAATTTTATAGGATATTTTACAATACTATAAACTGAATCAATGTCATCAATATGATAAATAATATTAATATTGACAACAGTAAAATAATATTTGGAAAGGACCTTGTGAATATGAAAGAAAATACTACTTTGTTAATACTGCTGTGTTATAATAGCATGTTTGGCAATCCATACATATTGGTTATAATATTTAGCAAAATGTTTGTCAGAAATACCACAGTCCCATGGCTGAGAAACTAGATTTTACCACAAAACCACAGGACTAAGCACTCCCACAAAATAAAAAGCATTTTCTTGCTTTGCTTTAATATTCAAATGTAATAAAAGTAGTGAATTAAGACAATGTAAACCAAAAAGGCAAAAACACCTGTTTTTATAGGTGGCGAATCTTTTTCTTGATGTTCAGCTTTTTCTAGAGAGAGAAATCAGAATTAACTGGCAATCTGTGGCTTGTTTGTGTAGCAAGCTTTTCTTATTTATATATTTGCAGGCTGTGCTCATTGATATGGGAAGCATGCCCCCAAGTCATTTGCATGTAACTTGGAACACAGAATGCATATTGCCATAGAAACGCATTAAAAACAAGGTCAGGTTCAGTCTCAGGGCATCCTGTAAGACAGTTGGAAGGTACTAGCCCTCTTGGGGCCATGCGGAATAAAAATAAGATAGAATACAACGAAGAGGGGAATGACAAAAAGAGGATTTTTCTGTCTTTGCCGAAGGTTGAGCCATTCCTTTGGGATAGTTTAGAGCAGATGACATTTGCCTATCGTATATTACATGCTCTGACTCCTAGTTCCCTTCTTGCTGGGTCAGACGCAACTTGATGCTGGACATTTATTTCTTGTCGAAAAGTTAACCTAAACCTGCCCTATTCCAGAAAGCACCACATTTGCATTTTTATTTTCTTGGACCACACACACTCTCTTTCCAGGTCCAGTTTGAATTCTCAGGGATAAATGCAAATTAAGTCTAGGACATTATAAGCAAAATCAAAATATGTAATTGATATACCTCTTAGTTCTCTGAAAAACGTTTGAATTGAAAAAAAGAGAGATCTCTCTCTTACATCAAAAGTGGAACTTCAATGAAGCCACATAGGGTAGGATATTTTGAATAAAGTTGAGAATATTTGTAAATAATGATAATTGCCAAACATTAATTCTTTGTCATCACCTCCAGGGTTAGTTGTCCTGAAATATCAAATATCATTGATATTTATCTGTCCATTGCTCATCTCATCACAAAATGTTTATAATTTTATGGATTTCTAAATACCAATGAATACCTACAGTATAATTAATGCTTCTTAAATAAAAAAATTAAAACAGTATATGGTTCATTGTATAGCATTTCTTATTGTTCTTTTACAGCCGATATGGACTCACTGTTTTAATGTTAATAATAATGGTACAATTTCAAGATATCTCTTCTGTATAATTAGAATTAACTATTAATTAGTAGCAAAAGAGAAGGGTGTTAAATCAGAGCCATAGCAATAACATTAATCTACACCTCTATAGGTGTTTTAGTCTTAGGCAACACTAAAAATAACAATTAAAACAGCAAATTGTTAAAGTTAAAATGACCAAGCCACATTTTTCAGTTTTTATTCTTTTCATCTCTTACTTGCTGGTTTAGGCTTGACTGTGGAGAATGAAGAAAAATAAATGCCATATTGATAAGTGTAAACCATGGAAAAAAGAACTCTTTAACATTTATAGTTAACTTTCTTAGTTTTTAGATTTCCGTATCTTAAACTTAATTCATTCTCTCTGAGCTCTATTATTTTACTGTCAACAAACAGATTAATCACACTGCTAATGAAAAGCTAAGACACAAAATGTATGTAAACTCGAAAACAATCGGTGCATTTGAAACACAAATACTTTGGGCTACTTTCTTTATAATCCCCAAATACCCATATAACTAAATGAGATATTCAGGAGGCCATATTAACACCTTAGGGTGAAAATTGAGGGCATATTAACTGAAATTATGAGTTTAGGCAATGGTTTGAATAGAGTACAATTGTCATAAGAGGTATGTGAAGTGGCCCCGTGGGAGTTTTTTTCTCATGTAATAATAGCCTATAATTTCTCTAAATACTTCTTTCCTGAGTTCTATTATATTTTTCTCTGAGAAACTGTATTTAAATACTTATTATCTTGATTATCTCAGTTGAAAGAAATTACTTCACAGATTTATTCCTTTGGAATTATTTTTAATAAGAGATGGAACTGTATTAACGACCAAGGTGGATAGGATTTCTGTCATGGAATCAAATAAAGGAGATGCAGTGTTTCCAGAAGTCCATAGGAATGAAGACTCAGTTTTGTCCATTCTTATCACTTCTTTATTTTTCTCACATAAAATAATAAAGAATAGGCTGTTTTTCTTTAATATTACATATTCTGCCGATCTTTTATGCTATAGGGCAGATTTTAAAAGTTATTCAACCACATAACTCTCTGTGGAGTTCTCATGAAAGGACATTTTTCTTCTTTTTTTTTTTTTCTTTGGCTCATGAGAGGAAATTATTCCATATAACACATAAATACAGACAATTTCAGTTTTTCATGTCTTTAAAATCTGAGAAAACATGGTTTGAAGATAAGATCAAACACCTACTAGTACATGATAATCAATGCATTACATGGATTCTTTTCATGAATTATATGTAAACTTAAGTCAGTCACACTTATAAAAAATAAAATTATGTTACTTCAGTTTTCCAGGGTCAATTTTTACTGAGTATAGCTCTAGTTATTTACAAGAATTTAGAATTTTAGTTTTTACAGCACTAAACGTGTGCAAACTTCAGTGAAGCTGTGTGCGTACACCCACATAACAAAGAACCGATATACAGAAGAAAAATATGAAATATCTATTTACCTGTTTTTTCTATTGTGGTAGCTTTTATCTGCTTGACACCTTTTTCTTCTGTGACAGGAAAAAGTGTTATCACAGGTAGAAATTTCAAATGTGTCAGTACAAAACAATGACATATTTCAACCTTGATATTTTGTATTCTCTTTGAAATAACACCAATACTGAGAAAAAAGTAGCTGTTTCCTTAACGAAATAGCAAGTGATGTCCTTTATTTAAATTGGACGGAAGCACAAAGAAAACCTGTCCACCTGCGATGTCCTTTGCAGCTGTCTTGCCATAAGAGTTTTCCTAATTCAAATCATCTCCACCTGCCAACACGCTCCTTATCTCCTGCCTTTACTGTATTTCACTGTATTTGCCTACACAGAAGCCTTGTTTTATAAAACATGGACCCCTTTCCATGATCGAGTTAGAACAGGAAGAAGCAGCCTTTTATCTTTGTTGTGCAAGGTGTCTCCCCGGGAACCCAGGATTGGCCTGGGAACTCAGGTTCTTTCATGGTGTAAAGCTGGGGCAGGGCAAAAGTGGTACATTTATGGGATGTTTTCTTTTTTCTATGTTTTTGTCAGCATAGTCAAAGAAGAGAGATTATTACAATGATCCTTTGTAAAATTAAACTTTTCAAGTATTCAGCAAGGGAGTCAATCAGCTGGTCAAATATCCAAATGGGAAAGCTCTTTGGGAAACAGAATTTAAAGAGTATGACTGTTATTACTGAAATAAAAGAGGGATGTGGTGAGAGGATAATGCATTTGCCATACACTTGAAGACTAAAGTCTCCCATTCTCTCTGAAATAACACCTCAACATGACTTACATCAGAGACAGTGAAGAAAATAACAGGTTTTCATCATTCTTTAAAAGTTGTTTCTAAGGGTTTGCCTGTGTCGATACAGACAGCTATTGTCTCCTTCACACTCCAGCTCTGCCTTCTTTATTCCTACGGTTTCTGTTGTTGATGTCTCATATTTTTAAAAACATCAGCAAATAAAATCGTTCTGACTCAAACCTATTGTAAATAGATTCTTTAAAGTAAAATTTTAAAAATGAAAGCGAAAGGTTTCCCAAGAGATGTTTTGAGAAAGCATGTTTCTAACTTTTGAAAGGTCCTGGACAATCCGTATTCACAACATTGGGCGAGTGACTCAGCGTGGGGTGGCGTACATAAGTCTATAGAACAACTGAGGCTTGGGGCTGCCTCCAAATTAAATTATTACTTAATTAGCTTAAGTTAAAATGTAAAGCTTCTCTTCTTAAATAAAAACTAATGAATAAACACGTCTTGGTAACATCTGTATTTATCTTTAGGAGCAGGACACATTGGTTTACCTCTACTTTGTCCAAGTAATAAAGACCAGAAATAAAAAGGAAGGATTGGAGACAAACACGGAGTAAGAAAGAAGAACAGAAAGTGGGGAGAAATGTTGATTTCTTTTTCTTGCCTTGGAGTCTAAGATGGTCATGTTTGAATAAGCCAATCTGAATTACAGACATTTTCTCAGGATGTCTTGCCCCAAACAGAAGAAAACAAAATAACATATAAAGCCCACTCACCCGAGCCCTGGAGGTGATGTTTTGTGCTTAGCTATGTGTCTGATGGGAAGGAAGACTGGCTGTGTAATACCTGGCATGGGGCAAGTCCTCAGTACAAAACACATTGTGAAGGTGACTAAAATGGGGTGTTCTAGAATCTGGATGACTTAAGACATGAATCCTGTCTAATAACTTTATAATGGACTTAAAGCTCTTCATTCTGCTAAAACTAGAGCATTTAAGGCAATTCGATACTACAAATACCACCTGCAAAATACCTGGTTTACCATGAGAAACAGTCTTTTCTGGTTTCACTGTGTCTTGTTCTAGAAACAGTAAAAAGAAAACCTTTTCAGGTGTTTGGTTTTATAAACTAGCATGCACTGAATTTTCTCTGTGACTTAGGCCAACAATTTATTAAAGAGAAGATTTCAACAACTCTGCCCATGGAGAAAACCTATTCCTAAATTCTCATGTCATCCTAGTTTACATGAAAACCTTAAAGGTTTTGGTTTCATAACAACCATGTACCAAGAATTACTACATTTATGCACCCATAATATCCAAAGACCAGGCTTAATAAAGCATCAATACAAAATGAGAACTTAGGTTGGAATAAAGTATAATGGTCACACAAAGTAATGTGAAAATATGTATTATTAAACATATTTTAAAAATGTCTTGTAAAAGATTCTATAGGAGCATTATAGATAAAATTCATATGTACACTGTGTTTTTTTGGCTTTTTCAGATAAAGCTAAAAAAACTTTTGTTTATAAAAATAAATAATAATATTCAATTAAATCACTGCAAAACTACATTATGTAACAATAATAATTAAAAGTTTTAAATGGTATTAGGACTAACTAGAAATTTTAAATGGTATTAGGTTTCTGTTTTACAAAAGGGAGGGAGTGGGGGATATGCAAAGTATTTGTATCTGGTTATACATATTCATCTGCAGCAAATAAATATAATCAGAAAAATAAATCAGAAAACAATAACTAGGCATCTATGAGCCTTGTTATGTTCTATATATATTGTTTATAAGAGCAACTAGATTCAAGCTTATAGTCAGTTGCTAAGTAAGATCTGGTGAAAATTAACGGCAATATAGTATTGTATACACAGATTCTTGAATTTGTGATATCGAAGAATCCTGCTGTGTAATTTTTTTATAATGAAGAAATCACTTCCATAGAGCCTGAGGGTTTTTGTAATTTGCCTCAGGTAAATAGCTAGTTGGTACCAGAGCTAGGACATAAACATTAAATAGCAATGTAAACTTGGAAAGGTCATCCTGATTTTAGGTCATTGTTAACTCTTAATAAAATGATTGCTAGTCTGAGACAATCTCTTACTGGGAGCACCCAGGATTTTGAATAAATCAGACATGGCCAGAATCCTAACTCCAACATTTATTAACTTGAAAATCTTGGAAAAATAATAATTTCTGAACTTGGCCTATTGAATTATTTCTACAGATATTAAATATGAATAACAATTGTCATGTTTCATGTCTCTCATAGTTATATGATGAATATAAAAATTTTATGCTAGTCCTTAACTCATAGCAGGTGTTTAATAATTATTGTAATATTATATTATTGTATATATGTAATTATATATAATAATTGTTGTCCTTGTTCCCTTCAAATCTCAGTAGTCTATGATTTTGTGATTTTATTACCCTGGTGTGTTATCAGAAAGAATCCCACAAATTAAACATGACCATACTTGGTTTTGAAGAACCCCAAGGAATGCTTCTAAAAACTGGAGTTTCTGCTGAAACCCACTTAAAGCCATATTTTTTTATATTTTTGCCTATGGGATATCCCCATTCTCAACTAATTCAGTAGCATAAAACCATATTGATCAATGGAGTAGGAAATATAATGAGGATCTGGGAGACTCTGTAAATCTCCACTGGTGGGTGGTAAGCCTCTTTTAGATCTAAAATGAAGACAATAGCAGCTCTGTCAATTAAAGAATAAAAAAAATTGATACCTGATTTTGTTTCCTTTTTTACTTGTGGCTCTGAAGGGAAAACAAAATGCAGAAATTTAAAAATCTGAAAAAAATAACTAGAACACAAATCCATTTTTGGAAATTATTCTGTTTACCATAATTGAAAAAAGAAGAATTGCACTAAAAATTATTCCAGTTTCATGCTAGTTTCTCAATGCTGGACTATTAAACACAATAGTTGGAATCATGCCATGTAATAAGTTGTTGTTACTGCTAATTGATTTTAACCTGAAATTTGTTTTCTCAAGATGATTGTTGTGGAGAATAGTTACTATGTCAGCATAAGATAAATGATTTGATAACAAAAATTGGAAGAGTCTTTTTGACATAGATATAATTGGACAATTATGCGATTCAGAAGTTTACACAAATAGTGTTATGGCTTGAATTGTGTCCCATCAAAAGATCTGTTGGAGCCCTAACCTCAGTATCCCAGAACGTGACCTTATCTGGAAATAGGATTGCTGCAGATATGATTAGGTAAGAAGAAGTCGTACTGGAGTAGTGTGGGTCCTTAATCTAATGTGACTGATGTCCTTAAAAAAATAGCAAAAGAGGAACAGGCATAGAAACACACAGGAAGAAGATGTCTAGGTGCTGATGGAGGCAGAGATTGGAGTGATGCTCCTACAAGCCAAGAACACTGAGGATTTCTGGCAAGAACACCAGAAGCTAGAAGAGGTAAGAAAAGATTCTCCTCTCTAGGTTTCAAAATAAGTACAGCTCTGTTGACATCTTCATTTTGGACTTCTAGCCTCTAAACCTATGAGAGGATACATTTTCATTGTTTTAACCTACCCAGTTTGTGGTACTTTATTCCAGTCATCCAAGGAAACATATTTTTGGTACCAGGGAGTGGGGTGCTGCTGTAACAAATACCTATAAAAATGGGAGAATGGGAGTGGCTTTGGGGTTGGGTAGTGGGTTGAGGCTCAAAAATTTTTGAGGCACTTTATATAAAAAGCCCAGATTGCCTTGAAAAGACTATTGGCAGAAATATTGACTTATAAGACTATTCTGCTGAGGATTCAGAAAGAGCTGAGGGGAGCTATAGAGCAAGCTTCTGTCTCCTTTGAGAATACATATGTCAGCATGAACAGAATATTCTTAGAAATAAGAATGTTAAGTGTACTTCTACTGAGATCTCAGAAGAAACGAGGAACATGTTATTGGATACTGGAGGGAGGGTGATGTTTGTTATAAAGTAGCAGGGAACTTGGCTGAGTTGTGTTCTTCTGTTGGCTGGAAGGTAGAATTTGTAAGTGAAGAACATGGATATTTAGCTGAGAAAGTTTCCAAGCAAAGTGTGAAAGAGTCAGCCTGATTTCTCCTTGCTGCTTAGGATAAAATGTGAAAGGGAGGATCAGTTGAGGAATGAACTGTTAAGCAAAAGGAACCAGCACTTGGTCATTTGGAACACTTTCAACCCATCTGAATAGTGTGCATGGGAGACAGGGCCAGTGGTGTGGCTGGACAAACTTTTGCTGAAGTGGGTAAAGAGTAAATGTGGGACTCATGGATCCAATCCACTTTCTCAGCAGAAGGCAGCTATAGAGACGTGGTGATCCAGGAAAGATTGTGGAGGACCTTCCTGTTCAATGGCTTGAACCCCCGTTAACTGAAAGCAAGACTGGTCATGTTTTTGAGAATATTCTACAAGCAGAGGCAATGCAGCCTGGACAGAGAGGGACAGAGGTGGATGAAATAAAAAAGTAACAACAGATTCAAACCTGGGCTGATGGGACCTCCTCAGGTAGAGAGGGCCAGCCACCTAGATGTTCAAGAGGGCAGAACCACACCCTACCAGGCCCAGAGGACTCAGCAGTGAGCCAAAGAATATTTTCTCAGGCTTTGAAATCTAGTGGAATTTTTTCTGCTATGTTTTGAATTTATGTGGAACCCGTGACTTCTTTTTATCTTCCAATTTCTCCCTTTAGGAATGGAAATGTCTATCCTATTTCTGTCCCACTGTTTTATTTTGGAAGCAGTCATTTGTTTTCTGGTTTTATAGGTTCACATATGGAGAAGAATTTTCTGCAGAAAGAATCATACCCTGAGTTTCATGCATAACTGATTTACATAATGAGATTTGGGGCTTTGAATTGATGAAATTTTGGATTTAGAGTTGATGCTAAAATGGATGAGACTTAGGGATTATGGAATGAGGTGAATGTATTTTGCACCATGTGAAGGACATGCATTTTGGGGGTGGGGGTAGAGTAGACCTCTATGCATTGAATTGTGTCATCCAAAAAAAGAAATATACTGGAGTCCTAACACTCAGTACCTCAGAATGTGACCTTATTCGGAAATAGAGTCATTGTAGATATAATTAATTAAGAATTTGTCATAAGGGAATAGGGTGGATCCTTAATTTAATATGATTGGTGTCATAAGAAGAGGAGAAAAGGTACAAAGATAGAGACAAAGAGAGACAATGTCCATCTGATGACAGAAGCTGAGATTAGAGTGATGCTTCTACAAGCCAAGGGACAGACACCAAGGATTGCTGGCAAACACCAGAAGCGAGAAGATGCAAGGACTGATTCTTCCCCACAGGTTTCAAGAAAAACATGGCCCTGCTGACACCTTGATTTCAGACTTCTAGCTTCTGGAACTATAAGAAAATAAATTTCTGTTGTGTTAAGCCACCTAGTTTGTGGTATTTTATTACAGCAGCCCTACAAGCCAAATAGTTATGGAACATGAACCAAAACTTTAACTGTTATGAGAATCTGAATTCCCTTTGTTCTTTTAAAAAAGTTGCTGCTACCTGCTATAGCCTGAAGAAATGTTTATCTCACTCAGGAGCCCCCGAAAAGGGAAGAGTGAGAGAAGCTGTGTTTCTGATAAAATATTTATGTCCTATATCAGTAAATAAAATCAGCAAAAATAGTGGTTGTGAAAGACTGAACCCAATTAGTCAATTGTTTTTTCTGAAACATATACATTTCTCAGGAGTTTTCCTTCCCACCCCCCAGGAACAAGTAGTACAAAATATGTACTATGTTTGTTTTATTTTAAAAAGTTAGTCAAGGATAAAATTTGGGTATAACATTTTACACTGGGACACATTTGCAAAGACATTTTATGCTATTCATCATAAATATGGAATGCAAGTATGAATCCATACATAAAATATGCATACCTGGCTTCTCTTCTTTTTTTACTTGTGACTCTGAAAATATAGATACATAGTAATAAGGATGATTATATAAAGATATTTATTTCCTGCACTCATGCATACAGGGGTGGGCAAAACTGGGTTTACAGTTGTTTGTATGGAAAAAAATACAAAAATTAACAATAATGCAAGAATAAACTTTTGTGTACTCACAACTGTAAACCTACTTTTGCCCACCCTATTTCATTTACATATTATTGAGTTTTTTAATATGTCATGTTAATTTTGTTTTTAAAATAGCAGGAAATTAATACAAACAGACAAAATAAAGGTTCTTCATTATTAATCACAAGTGTTATTTTGAGAAAAAATAAAATGTGAACTAAAACTTTTAATGAGAAGTTAATTAAAGGTACTGATTTGTATCTCCACTGAACAAAGGATGAAGGAAAATGTTAGCATAACATATTCTCAGAGGAACACTTAAGATAATAGGCAAAAATAATTTCTTCACAAAATAATTGCCTTGGATTTAAGCAAAATACTAAAAAATGGAATCAGAAAAGGATTAAAAGCATGCATTTAAGATTTGTTATTTATTTATTATTTAGGCATGCACATAACATACGTGGAGGCTTAAGCTTCACTTCTTTGCCTAGAAAAAGTTTCAAAAAATTATTAAAGGCTGAGTCATTCAATTCTTATTGAATTGTCATTGAATGATGGAACATTATACATTTGAAAATTAAAATCAAACAAAATTGACACCAGCTATTCTTCTTTATTGAAATTTTATAAGCTATGTAATTTCATGTCCATGTCAAGCTACTAATTAAAACATCATTTTAAATAATAAAACACTTAGTTTATTTTTACTGCACCATTAAAAAATAATTTTCTCACAAACTCTTGTGTAATGTTAACTTTTTAATTGTATATTAAGATAAGACATTTTTTGAGACATTACTTTTAACCCTTCATTATTCAAGATGAAAAATCCAAGACACTTTTTAAAATTTTCCATTACCATTATCAATATATTATCTGTCCCAGTATAATACATTAAAAAAATAATTGCTGCGAATTTGGAATTCCCATGACTAGAAATGTTTTTGCTTTTATGGCATGAGGAACCCTAGTGCAGGGGCTGGTAAATTTTCTATGAATGGTCAGACAGTATATAGTTTTGGATTTGGGGCCATATGATCTCTGTTGCAACTATTCACCTCTGCTGTTGCTACATGGAAGTGGTCCTAAGCAATAAGAAATAGTTTATTTACAGAAACTAGCGGCCAGTGCACAGGCCATTGTTTGCCAACCTTTGCCTTACCCATAGTCAGTTTTCATTTTCTTTTTTATCTCAACAAAGGTGTGACAGTAAAACACACACACACAACAACAACAACAAAAACCCTCCTTTGATTCTGGGTTCTTTCCTACTTGCCATCCAATGCCACCCATCACTGCTCAACTCAGCTTCTTAAGAATGTCATCATTACCTGCTTTTTGTTCACCTCTCGACTTTCATTCGTCATCAATTCACTATAATCTAGCTTGTATCCCCACCATCCTATTCACAGGCCTCTTTGATCACCAGTTCTCCCCTACTTGCCAAGACCAGATGGGAGGGATTAAGATGCACAAACTGCCGGTAAGAAAAACAGTCATGGGAATGTAAGGCACAGCATAGGGAATATAGTCAATAATATTGTAATAACTATGTATGGTGCCAGGTGGGTGCTACACTTATTAGGGTGATCATTCTGTAAGGTTATATATATATATTAGAAATCACCTAATCTAACTTCCTCAATTTCTTTTCTTTCTTATATATATAAGGTGTATATATATCTCTCTCATCCAGGTATAAAATTATATATTTATGTTAAAAATTAATTTAAATCTAAGTAGTAAATCATTTATTAGGGAGACACAGTTTAGATAAAAAAAGCCCTACCCAGTCTTTCTTCACCTGGCTATCTTGACCAGTCTCTAAGACTACCCCCGTATCTTCTCCCTTGGGAAATTCTCCCTGAACCTAAAGGCTGTAGAAATACGACTTTCCTCTGTGTTCACAAAGCACATTCTGCACAACTTTTCTTATTTGCTTGATTTTAATTACTCATTCCCTTTTTGTTGATATTAGCTCTTTATTTGATGATCTCTGCCTTGATACAATATCTTTCTTGAGAGTTTAAGTTTGTTACCCTCATAAGAATAATTTTGTTGACCTTCTGTAGCTATGGTGGCTTTTGGGTGATTTTCTGTCTCAGAAATTACAGAGTTCTACACAGCCCACAGCAGATATAACATAGGAGCTCAGACACAAAGTTAGCAGGAGCCCATTCAGCAAACGTGGATACCACATCATATGCTAGAGGAAAAGGTGTGCAAAGAGACCAAGGCAGGAAAACACATGGTACGTGCTTATAGCTAAAGAAGAGTAATTGAGAAAGTAAGTTGCCAAGATCGGAGGCAAGGTAAGTAGGTAAGAAGTTTTTGTTGTGGACCTAGAGTAAAAGGAACATATTAGAAAAGCACTGAATAGACCAAAAAAATGCATGGAATTGGTGATCTTACTAAAATGTTTATGGGGGAGGAGTGATGGTGGCAGATTAGACACATGGGAGCCACATGAATATGTCAGGGGCAGTGAACCTAGCACTGTTCCCTGTAGATACACATTCAGAAAAGATAACTAGTATGGACTTGTGGTGGATCTTTGAAGAGATGAAAACAAAGTGGCTGATTAGGTCATGAGTTTGTCTATTTATTCAGGCAAGAGATCATGAGAACTAGAACTGGGGTCTTACCAGGAGAGAAAATGAAGGTAGAGAGCAAATTTGAGAGACAAATACCTGGCACCCATTTGGCTGCTGGGTGGTGAAAGAGGAGAAGTTGTAAATGACTCAGAAGTTGAAGTCAATGAAACTGAACGGTGAGTCATGAATTCTATTTCTTGAGGTAATGAGCAAATAAAAAAGACAATGGAAGAGATGTTGAGTCCAATTTTAAACAAGGTGAGGTGCTGGCAGAATAACCGTGAGAAAATGTTTACTAGGCAGTTAGAAAGGCAGGTATAAAACTCTGAAGAGTTTGTTTATAAATATTACTTTTTAAAAAATAAAAAACCAAATTATTGCTTACTACTTACTGTGTCTCTTATAGTACTACTTATATTTAATGTCCTTTGCTTCCTAAAAAGAGCACTTAGCTATTCTCCCATTACCTAATGAAATTCATGTCCTATTTGTCATCATTTTCTTTGGGGGGTTGTAAATAAAACAAAGAAATGTAGTGGCTAATAATATGCTATGTCAAAAATAAATAATTATTGTCATGTTGTCCCAGTATTTAAAAATATAGTCTTTTTTTTGGTCATTTTATTTTTAACTGTGGATTTAAATAATTTGCCTTTTGCCCAAAAAAGGGGGGGGATTTTATTTTTTATTTTTGAGAAAGAAGAGATGACGAATGTAGTCAAATACTGCCTAAGGGTCAGCATAATATGAACAAAAAAAGCATCCTTGGAATCAGGCAAAAAAATGTGTTAGTGGTCAACTTTTGGGAAAGGAATTTAGGAGAAAAGATCACTCGGCAAGAGCCTCCGATTAGACACTCAGCTTTGATGTAATCTGTCCTCTCATTATGCCTTCAAAGCTCAGGGGAAGTTTTCTCTTCATCATAATTAGGCTAATTCCCTCCATCTATGATGTGCATCCCCAGGCCCTCGTGCTTGGGGCAGTTCTCTCCTAACCCCCTACTGAATATCTCCCTCTGGGTTTCCTGTTCCTCCTCTCCCGGGACAACCCCACCGTCACAGGCATGAAGACAGCAACCACCTCGCGCTGGTTCTCGCTGGGGGCATAGACTATGTCGTCTCCCTTTAACGACAAACTCTTAAAAAAAATAGTTTTGGTGCTGCCTCCACTTATGAATACATTCTCTGTTAATTTCTGTAAACTGGTTTCTAATTCCACCACTCTACTAAAAATGCTCCCCAAAAGGTCACAGAAGGACAGTTTGTTGGATCAAATATTATGGCTTTTTCTTGGTCACCATGTCCCTTGACCTTTCTGAGACATTGTTATAACACTGACTTTTCTACGTTTTCTTGAAAGCGTTCCCCTTTGGGATGCTGTACACTGTATTTTCTAATTTTCCAGGTGACGTACTTTCCTTGTCTTCACCAGTTCTTTATATTTTCCAAGAAGCTGCCCTTCATTTCCTTCTCTTCTCCCGCCATGTTTCCTTTTCTTAAAAAAACTTCTTTTCTCCTTGGCTTTGACTCAAAACCTCTAAACTCATGGATACAAAACCTAGTCTGAGGATTCAAAGCGAGTACTCTCAGTTTCCAAGGGTCTCTAGAATGTCTCCATGTGGATGTCCCATTAGCATCCAGGCCACCTGTGTTCCCTTTGCACCTTCTGCATTCGACCGCCTTCCCCATTCCCTCGCGCTGAGACCTGGGAGTTGTGTACATTCATGTCATCAGTGTCTATTCTTCTCCCGTGAAAGTGTGACAATTACTAGAGCAGTAATAGCGCTGTACAGAGAGTATGATTGTGCTTTTAAAGCATGTATGTTTATATAACTTAAAGAATATATAACCAGATGATATTAGCATTTTCAATGGGTTGTTAGGTTCTCTGATTTTTAAAAACTCAGTTCCTAATTATTCCACATTGAATATTAGTTATGACTCGAAATGCTCTTGAAAGTAAACAGAATTCACTTCCTCATTGTTTCCTCTATGTGCCAATTTATCCAACTTTTATTTTATAATACTGAGGTTACTATAAATGGCTTTTAGTTTAAATCCCTGATTCAGTACTATTTCTGCAGGATCTCGCCCCACATGCCATTGTAAGACATACGTGATTCCACTGTCTTCTCATTCACACCCTAAGAATCCAAGCTTTTCCCTCTGGCCTTCTAAGCCCCCTTCCCCGGATTTTCGGAACCGCCCTGCTGCGGCCACGTGCCCCCGCTGAAGCCTTGCCATCTTCTGTTTCTCATGCAGCCCCTGGAATCACCTTTGGCCCCTGGTTCTCTCCTCACTCTCTCCTGCTAACAACACTCATCCCTGTCTCTGGGTTAATTCCTAAATAGAGCTACCACTTACTGAATTGAACCAAATGGCAAGGACCAACTCTATTTCTTACAACCCTCCTAGGTGGGTATGATGGTCTTCATTCAGTAAATAAGGAAACTGAAACTCAGAACAGTTAAGTGATTTAAGAAAAGTCACATTCCTAGCATGTGGCAAAGAGTCAAGTTCATGTCTTTCTTCATAAAACTAGTGTTGTTTCCATCAGCTTTTAAAATCATCTGCCTGACTCAGCAGCTCTTACATGTTCCTACAACCCCAGCTAAATCCATCATCTCCTTGAAGTTGTCACTGATTGCCACAGGCTGCAGGAATGGCTCCTCTCTCTAGACTCCTGAGAGAATAAATTGTCTGGAGACATCCCTTAGTAGTTCATGTCTAGGTCCTTGATTGTACTTCTTGAGATAGAAACAATCTCTTATAACTTGTTTGTAAATTTTGTAACACTGGGCACAATTCTGGATGTTTGGCAGTGATATATGTTTTTAATAAATTATTTATTGATTATATTTTGTAATAAAATATTCCATTAATGCTGACTTTTCTTTTTTCTTAGGAAGTTAAAAATAATTGTCATGTAAATACATATGTAAACTAAAAATAGGAAATTTATAGCACATATATCACTTTTTCCATTATATACCAACAGTAAAATAAAGCCTAAAACAAAATGAAGAGTGGCATAATACACCTTTTATCTGATCAGCAAACTTTCACTGGCATCAGTAAGAGTGCCAAAAATAGAGCAATTTTTCTATGTAGTTTTTCCATTTCTGCAGATATATCTAAAGCTCAATTATGACATTTGATGTAGAGACTCAATATGTCATTTCATCTCTATTATGCATTTTTTCTTACACTTTAAAATTGCTAATTTTCCCACTTTTCTTCCAGGAAATGCAAGCTTTCAGATTATATAAAGTCACTTAAAATAATTGTTTATTAACTAGAAATAAGAAAGCACAAAAAATTCCCTTTGATATGTTGGCAGTACATTGAAGAAAAGTGATGGTAATATTTCAGGTTATTATTTAACATATACATAGAAGAGTGAAATAAGAATTTCTTAAATATAGGTAAAAATTTGTGAAAATGAGTATATGCAAATATTTTAAGACCAATGTTATGAAAGTCTACATGTATGAAGTATCACTTTTACTGTCTAAGGGGATAGAGTTATAACCTTCTTTTACATATATAGATAGATAACTATCTTTCCAAAGATATAAAATATTTGGAATAGGGTTAACCCTAGAAAGATTGTAATTAATTAAATCATTTTCCAATATTTTTAGTCTTCCTTTTTCTGCATTTTCCCATTTTTATATTTCTTCTTCTAACTTTTAACACCTGTCTTAAGAGTACCCAGCTAATCTTTTTACTTCCTCACAAAGCCTATTTTTTAGAAAGTCTTTTAAAAAAGTATTGTAATTTTCAAATTAATGACCAATAAGGCAAGAGATTATCTTTCAAAAAATCTGCATATTTAATTAATGTGAAAGAAAATGGTTGAATCTTTTAGGTTAAACCATATAAACTACTGTTTTTGTGGTAAAAATAGTTGAATATAGATGATTTCATAAGGTTCAGTCAATCGTAAGGATAAGTATTAGGCATTTGCCATGATCTGGCTGGAGCCTCTGAAATTTATATTGTCCCCTTAGCACTTTCTAAACAGTATTCAATTGTCCAGGAGATAAACAAGGAGCAGCATATGCCAGCAGTTCCAGCACTTTGATGAACTTATCCAAACTCTGCTACAAGAAAACAAACTCTAGTTTAATTTTAGCCTACATGTAAGTTACATTTAAAATATATGGGGAGGGTCCACCAGCAGTTTTTCAATGTTTTGGACATCCCAAAACTTCACTTAACGATAAAATCAGCTTTATCTATAACTTTATAAACTTACAAAGTGTCCTTACCTGCTTTGGATGTCTTTTCATCTCTTTTAGTTTCAGATTCTGGGGTAAAACAAAACACACATTATATATATACACACACACACATAAACAAGGGGGAAAAAAGCATTTGATAAAAATAGTACTAAGTAGTTTAATAAACATATTTTATAGATTTTTCCCACCTGTTCTCCATCTCAATGACAGTTACATAGTTTTATCAATATACAACGGAACATGTATTATTGGTAAATTATAAAGTAACTGAAGCAAAAGAACTTTGATTTTAAAATCCAGTTTCCCAAAATAGTTTCATACTAATCAAGTAATTTGCCCTCTTGTTTTTAATGAGAGTCTGTTCCTTGATTCATAAGTTGTCTAAGTATTTCAAATAAGAAAATTAATAAAAACTACTCAGGAGGAAAGTGTTGTAAGTTTTCCTAATTTAATCAATTTTCTATTTTCAACTGCATACATTCAATTCATGGAGCTCCACCTGGTGGTTAATTTAATCATTTCAAACTGGTATAATTACTGTTGTTTCTATTAATATTTCTATTATTAATTTTGTAAAATAAATTGGCTTAAATTCAGTATAATGATATAAACAAATTAATAAAATGAAGTATTTTTCTTTTATTGCCCTAAGACCATGGTTTTTATCTAGAAATTCTGCATTTTAACTTAATATCAGTATTGATAAGGACATAATTTCATAAGCTATCCAGAAAATACTTATGACATCATCCTACCCAATGTGATAGTAGACTATATTCCCATATTTTCTGGTCATTCCTCTTATTTCACAACTCGTCCAGGCCTTATAGTTCTATTTTGACATGAAGTGTTGTTTTGATTAATTGAAGGGTTCTGATACAACATTTCTTCTCTTGAAATAGATAAAACTGGTCTCATGGCTGGGATATTTGTTGAGTATACACTATGTGTCAGGGACAGTGCTAGTCAGCTTCACTGTGGTTTTAGCCTAACAGAGTCTCATTTTCTGGAGTTATAATTTAGAAAACCCTAATTTGTTTAACCTTATAATTTTATATATTAGAGAATTACATAGCCATTCACACCCTATTTCTTACAATACTTCAATGTGCATCCTGTAAAAAGTGATATCAGTGTTATTATTGTACTTTACCACACCCTGGCACATCTCTGTCTCTCTCTTTTATTTTTATTTTTGAAAATATATTCACTGACTGGGTAGGACATATGCTACTTTAATGTTTTAGGTGTGCTTTAATGTCATATAAAATTTTGTTGTTTAATTTTTAATTTAATTTTTGTTTATGTTCTGTATCCCTTCTTTAGATTTTAAGTTCCATAAGAGCAAGAACTGTGTCTGTTTACTACTCAGATATCAGATTTGGCTAAATATCTGACATTGGTATATGATCAGTAAATATTGTTGAATGAATGAATGAAGAAAATGGTGAACATAAAAACAAACAAGCAAATGCTGCTCCTTGCATATGTGTAGCCCTAGAAGAAATTGATTTATCTTGTACATCTAGAGCTGGAGATAAAAGTTCAGTGTCTTAGAATGGGATTCATAGATATTTTGTTCATCAACTAAGGTAACTATTGGAAAGAGTCTTTCTTCTCACTCTACACAAGGCTTTTCCCCCTGTCAATCACATGGTCATAATCTTGAAGTAGAATCGTCTTAGTCTTAATGTTTGTCAAAAGATCTTTTGGGGAAAAAAAGTTGTGGAAAATATATTTATTAGCTATAAATACAATAAAATAAGAACCAACACTTATCTTGCATATATAATTTTATAAGCACTCTTATGAACATGCACTATCCAATATGCAAGGGGCAGTGGGTCCTCTCAGTATGCTAGAATTACTCACTTTAGGTGTTGCATGAGCAACACTAACAAGATGACCTCACCAGTCATGACTTCCCAGGAAGTGTGAGAAGCAGGCGTTCAGGTCATTTAATCTGGCTTTAAAAGCAAGCTCACTAAGTTTTGTGACTGTGGGCATTACTTAAAACCTCAAGTCTTAATTCTGTCATTGCTAAAATGGAAAAAATAATAACGTAAAATTTATGTGAGAATTATAAGTAATGTATGAAAAGGCCTTAGTTTTTTAAAAATTATGCTCATAAACTTAAATTGCATCATCTCTCAAGGTAATTTCCTATTTTCTTACAGAATTAAAACTTTACCCTTGAATATGCCAAGCAGGAATTGATATGTGGGAAATTGTCAATAGATTTCTAAGGTAAATGACATTTCTACTGAAGGCTAAGTCTTTGATTTTTTAAAAAATATATTTTTATTGATTTCAGAGAGAGAAAAGGAGAGGGAGAGAGAGAAACATAAGTGATGAGAGAGTCATTGATCAGCTGCCTCCTGCACACCCCCTACTGGGGATGGAGCCCGAAACCCAGGCGTGTGCCCTGAACAGGAATCAAATTGAGATCTGCTGGATCATAGGCCGGGCAAGTCTTTGATTTTTGAGGCATATAAGGATGCTTGTTTCTACTCAGATAAAAATGACAGCCCTCTTACTCCAATTAAGCTGACAACCAAATATATATATATATATATATTTAAAGTTTAGTCAAAAGGCTTCATTGAGAAGTTTCAGGAAACTAAGAACAGTGGTTAATGCTGGAGATTGGGAACTGGAGGCCAGAGAGAGGGAATAGGGTCATTTTTATTCTGTTTAAATTTTTTTCACCATTATTATAATTGTTTAATAATCAAATATCTGGATTAAACATTTGTCACTTGAGCCCTTCCTTCTGGACTCCCCATGCGAGCACTGCAGAAACACAGAACCAAGAACTGCCCACTCAGCCTGGCCGGGCCTGGCTCCGAGGTCGGGCGTCCACCTAGGATCCCGGAGATCAGGGTTCCACCCCCAGTCGGGGCGCGCAGGAGACAGCCACTCAATGACTCATCATCATTGATGTTTCTGTCTCTCTCTCTCTCTCCCTTCCTCTCTCTGAAATCAGTGAAGATATACTAAAAACAAACAAGCAAACAAAACTTCCCACCCAGAGTTGCTGAGACAACCTGACATTTCATAAGCAGGACTGACTTTTTCGGGCTGTTGATTTTATCTGAAATGTAAATTGCTGACAGGCCTGGGGAGGGGATCTTCATTAATGATTTTCAATGTCATCAACACAACACATCTGTTATCAAGTACAACAGGCGGACCCCAACTTCAGCATGCTTGTGCTTGAGACAGAGAGGGCGGCGGTGGAAATCAGCTTTGCTTAGGAGTCTCTGCTTTATATGTAAGGAAAGAAATTTACACAATTTATAAATCCCATTCATTGTGTTTATTCAATTTATAAATCTGTATTCTTTTCAGAATGCCTCTATTTTAAAAACTTTGCAGGTTAGAAGCTGAATATCACTGATTGATTTTTGCTTTCCCACTTTATTCGTATCACATTTCCTTCATTGAACTCATGTTTCTTCTCTTGAACATGTCTTAAGAGGAATTTGTTTTGCAAATAGTTCATGCATTTCTTTGTGGTCCAGATAAATACAATGGTGGGAAAGACAAGATCTGACTACCATTAAGTTTGATTTGGAACTTCCTCAGTCCATAGACTTCCAAAGGGGGAGTGTCTTAAGTTTGGGTGAGGTCACACAAAAAAACAATACCTGACATCTCCTACTCAACGAAGTTTCATCTTATCTCTATCAAAATAAATATTCTATGGACTATTTGATATTCCTTCCTATTTTATCCAAATTCATGTGATTTTGAAACTTCAAACACTATCTATGTTCCCCTTGTTCCTACTTGAGTTTCTAAATCAGTATCATCTTTGTTTATAAATTGAGGAATCCCTCCATGCATAATAAACGAGCACGGTGATGGTGGTAAGTACTTAAGCAACCTTATACAAATTAATGAGGTGTAGGGATAGGTTTCTTTTTTTCTTTTCTTTCTTTCTTTTTTTTTTTTTTTTTTTTGGCCTGTACCTGGCCAATTTTCCCAACACCATTTATTNTTTTTTTTTTTGGCACTGCAGTTGGAGAAAAACAGACAGACACACCAACCCAACAAAAATCCCTTAGTTCAAAATTTATTTCCTTTATTAGTTAGATGTTTTAATATGAAGCATTTGAAACTCTAAATTTCTATTTTCTCACCTTATGAAATGGGGACAATGATGATTAATTAGTGTATCTGTAGCTAACATTAGATTAAATAATTTCTCAAGTATTTCCTAGACATTCATGTACTAATCTCTAAATAATGGATGCCCATTTATTGGATAAAAAATCTGGTATGCCTTGTCTAAGGCAGCATGGGAGGCCACTTTGCTTTTCCTCTTTCCCAGCTCTTTTCCAAGTACTGTGAGATTTGGGGAGGGAGGGATAGGATATTGTCCCGTTCATCTTTGGAGCCTTAGTACTTAAAATATCCACAGAATATTGTACCAACACTTAAAATTGTTATCGATACAAAACAATTTAAATTGTGGTTTTCAAATGCCAGGAAAATCAAATGTATAAACATCACTTTTAGGTGGTTTAGACCAAATATGAGGGGAAACCCTGTCCCTTTAAGTAACACCTTACATAGGTGGAAAAAGCCCATTAGAACTCACCCACCAGATATTTAAGTCTTCACGTTTTTATATTTATTTGTTGGGACTAGCAATACAACTATTAGATACAACTATCCAGAGTAGCTAAGTGAATGAACTAGTTTGTAGCTTGTTATTTCGAAGCTGCAGCTGGAGTCTGGAGCTGCCGAGCCCGGGGCTTTTCCGTAAGGCCCAGGCACACATGCGAGCCCTCCCCAGCCTGCTTTTCCTGTGTGTGTCTGCCCCATTCGCCTCACCTCTGGTTTCCATTAGATCAGCAGGGAAGAAGATGCTGTATGAGCTTCTATAGCTATAGTTCTAAAATGCCTCCAGTTTGTAATGCAAGAGCTTAATTTGTGACTCAGTGCTTTATGCCTAAGTCCTGATTCTGAGGCCTTGGCAAGATGCCCTTGGGAGTTTGTTGCTCCCAAAGCAAGTTTGCTGAGTGGACAATAAAAACACAAAATGAGCCAGGGGGCACTCGCTCTTTGCAGCACAGAATAAATGCATACATACATTTTTCTTCCCCCGTTCTGCCATCACTTCCTTTTGGTGACCCTCTGTCTTTTGTATATGCTAAAACAACGTCCCAGGGATCTGACAGCGTCAATCCCCTTACCTACTCTCCTTCATGAATCGCCGTGGGGGCCTCATTACACTTCCCTTCCCTGGAGCATCCAACATAGGAATAGACACTGGGCTAAGTAAGAAATAATTGGAGGAGGCTGAACATATTGTAGGTGGCACAAAGGCGAGTCAGAACAAGGTCCTGTGATGTTATGTGAAGGTGGAAGGAGAGCTGGTTGGACATATTTCAGGTAATGAGCCAGCTGACTTTAAAGCATTCAATGGGTTCAGAAAGCTGTGCAAAAAATAAGCAGACATTCTTTGGGTTTTCCTTATCAACGGAGAGTCACTCTTTACCTAGACTCTTACTTGTTTCCCTGCATATTGACATTCATTTTCTTTAACTTGAAGTGAGAATAACTAATTAAATTAATAAAAGGTCATAGGTTTAAGTAAAGATAATCTACATCTGGTTCAAAAATGTAAAAATAATAGGTGATTTATATGACAAATAATACATTTACATATATTTTTAATATATATGTATATTAATTGATTTCAGAGAGAGGAAGGGAGAGGGAGAGAGAGAGAGAAACATCAATGATGAGAGAGTCATTGACCGGCTGCCTCCTGCACACCCCCTGCTGGGGACCGAGGCCACAGCCCCGGCATGTGCCCTGACCAGGAATCGAACCATGACCTCCTGCTTCCTAGGTGGATCGATGCTCAACCACTAAGCCACGCCGGCTGCGCTACATTTATATTTTTTAAGTGAACAGAAAAAATAGAAAGGTTTATTATGACATTTAAACAATGTCCCTGCAAAAAGAGAAGCACATTAGAGCATCTGCATAAGGTAGCTTGGTGTGACGAGAGAAGTGAACATGCAGAGTGACGGTGACTCATTCTCTCACCCTACCCTGTCCCTTTTCACGAGGAAAGGAAAGGAAAAGATAGGATACCAAGGGAGGAAGATTGGGGCTTTGTATCTGTCATTGTCCATATATTCCAGATACATGTAGTTGTATATATATTACCATTGTACATCTTTTTGGAGAAAGGAAATAAGAATTCACAGTGCTTGGATACATTAATTTTGTAAAGCTGCTGATTATATAGAAAATTCTGGCAAGCTCAACTACTTTCTTACCAACACATAACCCCTTTTTAGTCTGTCAACTTTGCATTTTGGTGTGATGGAGACACACAAAAAGTTGTAGGCTGTAAGTTGCTGCTTAGAGTCTAAGTGTTGCTGTTACTGGCACATGCTCATTTCGAAAACAAGAAATATTAGACAATTCTGAGTATCACACTATGCCTATAGAATGTACTGGGATTAATTCGAAACTAAATGTATCACATTGAACTTAGCATATTTACTTGTGTTTTAAGGGACATAACTTGCTGTGTGGCATATCAGAGTCCACATTACTATGAGCCTAGTGTAATGGTAAACAGGAGGCGCAATGAGACGCAAGAGCACTGGGCTCGATTTAGGAGATCAGAGTTCCAATGTTGCGTCTGCTGGAAATTACAATGAGTTTGAAAGTTTCTTTACTATTCATTTTATTTTTTTTATAAGATGAGAGTATATAACTATGGTTTATCTCTAAGTTTCTCCTAGCCATAAAATTTGTTTATGATTTTACTCAATTTGAACTTAAAGAATGGCAAGATATCACTGGGAAATTTTAAGTATTACCTTTTATCTTAAACCTTTGTTCCATGGCATTCCTGATAAGATTCACCTTGGGATTATAAAAGGTTGATTGCCCACCACAGACTGATAAAATTGGAATAGCATATGCATTTTTAAAAGCTTTTTCAATATTCCTAACATAGTTACTCTTTTCTTTGTTATTTCATTGTACAGTTTCGAATTTTATGATAGGAAATAAGTCTCTTTTTCTTTGCTCAAAAACATACCAGGGCATATGAAAGTTATAGTTTGAGAGCATTACAAAGAAATGATATATTACTTTGTTGTTGGCAACTGAATATTCAATGGGCAGATCAATGTGTTTTCACATTTCATTATACAATATTACCTTTTTCCTTTAGGGGAGCTGGCAACTTCACTTCTTTCCCCTTAATAGGCTCTGGAAAGAAACATTGAACATTTAGTCTCAGCCAAGATAAAAAATAATTGAGAACACATATATAAGAGCTATCAGTAAAGTGAACTTGCGTGGAAATAATGTAATATTTTCTTTCAAAATTTATTTTAATCCTACAGACCCAAAGATACAACAGTGTAGAGTACAGCAAGCCATTCCCTGATTGTTTTTATTTAAAATAAATGTAAATTGTTGAATGAATTACAATCTATTTGTTCATTTAAGAAGACAGGCATTTGGATGGATAAGAACTTATTTCGTCTTTAACTTTTAAAAACATATGGCTTCAGCATCCAAAAGTTTCCTCCAGCTGTTATAATTAGCACTCATGTGGTTTATTTTTATCAGACTATTCCCCCCCCCCCAAAAAGAAACAAGCAAATGGGAAACCCTGCATATATCATGTAAATGTGGTGTTTTAGTCACCAGATGCAGGTCAAATAAATTTGAGGAATAAGACTAAGGTAAAATATGAGAGACAATTGATTCTATAAACTCCCAAAGCCTTCAAGTGTGGCCCTCGGTTAAAGTAAATCAAGTAAGGCCTTGTTCATTCTACCACGTTCAATTACAGAGTGATTCCGATCGTATCATGGGTTCCAGATGGACATGTGGCAATGTCTCAAACAACTTTATCTGTCCTTGACAACCTGTAGAAAAACATAAACCCATTTTCTGCCTCCTCTGCAACATTAAATCTCAGTATCTACTTTATTGACAAAAGTGTCTTTGAATACAGTGGGAAAGGAAGAAAGAAAGAAATCTATACTTTCAGCCTTTTTTTCCATTTCCACCTTATGGTTTTGGGTGGGAATTTAGAGAATATGGTGGTGGCACTTGTATCACAAGCCCCTCAAATAATCACTCAGAATTAATTGTGCCCAGCTGACTTTGGATGGTGTCAAGAATGAATTTAGGGGTTCTATTGAAAAAGCTGTGTTCCTCAAAGCAAGATTTTCTTCGTAGAACTTTTTAAAATGGCTTTGATGGAAAAGAAATGTTTGTGTTGCTATTTATTGTGCAAAGTATAACTAAGGCCATTTTTTCCTATATTTTAGCATGAAAAGATGAAATCAAGAGCTATGGATTGAATAAACACAAAGAGAAGCTTCATTAACTTAAAAAAAAGTCAAGGGGGGTCATTTACTGCTTTCCCATTTCCCAGCTAAACCACAAGAATTAATGTGTTGTGAAATGAGAAGTGGTGGTGGGGACGGATTGCCAGTGGGGTGGGAGAATGCAGTCCCTGGAACTTCAGGATTCAATATTAAGCATGATTATCTAAATGGGGGAGTAGATATGATCAACATAGTTATAAAACATAAGACCTAGGGAGCAGAACCCCAAGATGGATTTTATATTCTGGGGAAAGAAAGAAGCTATATTTTTACGCGATATTTGAAAGTCATAAGCCCAGCACCTTAAACTTGGAAAGAGTTCTCAGAAAACAGAGGTGATTTTTATTTCCAAGTTTGCTAAAGATGGCTTCTGCTCCCAGGCTGGTCATCTTTTGCACTGGCTGTCCTGTAGTTCATTCTTCCTCAGTTTCCTTTATGACTTCAAGGGTTTTGACCTGATTTAGAACGAACACAGGCTGATCTGAACAGTCTCTAATTACCCAAGCAAGTGAGTGGATATCAAATCTGACAAAAACTGTGGAGAGAATGTTATATAGAAATTCTGCATTTCTGTATTAGAAAGTCCTGGTAGATACATGATTGGTTTGGGTCACTATAAAGCATTTTTTCAACTTACCTGTCTTATTTGTTAGGAAATAAGCTTTGGAGAACACATTTGTGTGTGTGTGTTGCTTTTTTCCAATATGACAGTTTCTTTGCATTTGTCTAAAAGCCTATAGAAAGGCTTATGAATCTTGATTATTAGAATCTGGAACATATTTAAATGTGCTGTGATATAAATTGGAATTCTCAAATAATCTGGGCAAGGAGGTTGTGATGGAGAAAACGTTAACAAAGGGATAAAGAGATGGTTTCAGATTTTTCACTTCCCTACACTGCCCCTAGAGATACAGGCAGTAAAGAACTAGGGTGAAATACAGATTGCTGGGGATCAGTTTCAAAGTCCTCAGACAGCATAGCCCATTCTTAGCTCTAGTTTTTGTTTGATTAGTAGGAGTGGCCAAGAAAAAGCATATGGAAGACAAATAGAAGTTGGGGTATCATTAGGTGCATGGTCCTGAGCATCAGAATGTTAAAGAAGATAAGCATTGCTGAGCATCCACTGGGATTAGGCCCAAACATACATAGGCCTGTGTCAAATCTAGACAACGATTCTAGCGTCCGTCCTACTAGCCTAATACCAGAGGAAGCTAAGTGTGTTGTTACTATCGCATTCTTAGTAGAGGAGGAATTACTTAATCTCTTTGATGACTTGTTTGGGTTTAGTTTGCAGTTCCTTGGTCCATGGATGAACCTTGGATCATCAGATAAGTCAGAACACCTGTAAGAAGCAAGTGGTGATATAGCGTAGGGGTGGATGCCAGAAAGAACATAACCAATAACAGGGGTGACTTAGCAGGGTTGTCTGGTTTCTGGGTGGTCGTGGCCACATAAACAGGGCTCTGTCCTCGTGAGTGTGTTGAGAGGACTTAAGCCAATCCCGAGTCCAGGAAAATCTGTAGCTGAACCAGCAGCAAAAGCCAGCAAGACATGTCTTTCTCTTGCCTTTTTTCTTTCAAATTATCATCCCTAGACCTTCTCTATACCACTTTAAATAAAGACACAAACCTAATGATGTTTCTTTAAATGCCTAACTTACTCATGGCTATCACGTCCCAGGTAAATGTGGTCCCAAATGATTTTTGTGTAATAATTCTGGTTTTAGAATGGGAGCGTTGCTTAATACACACAAAGTGCAATCTATGGGAGACTGGAAAACATAGGCACCACTTAGCTGCATAATATAAATAACTCTAAATATACAATGATTCCAACGCAGTAAGTGGCCTTTTAGCAAGTGGAATTGCTGCATTCTGGTTCTGCCACAGCTCAGCAGCAGGCTTCAAAGACTGCTTCAGAAACAATAACACTGGGAAGGTTTTTAAAGTCCTTCATATCTTATAGGTAACCCAGCACATTAAAAAAAGGTGTAATAATAAACGATATTTGGAAAATATAGGAAACATGGCAATAAAATTATTCTAAAATAGCATCCAAGTTATATATAACAAAGATATCTGAGGGCATTAATGCAGCTTGAATAAAAAGAAGTGCATTTTAAATAGCTCTAAATTAATAGTCACATGCAGCAAATCTTTATATACATGGTTTTCTTGTGACTGTGGAGAGACATCTTGCAAATAGTAGAGGATTTAACACTGAGAAAAAAGTGTTCACTAGAAAATTACCTACAATTGTGCATTAATAGCATAACAACGATAATAGAAACTACAGGAGCCTACTTAGTGAAGTGGTCAGTATGGGTTTAAATCCCCCAAATAATGTTTTCCAGGACACACTTTTATTACTGCCATTTCCTACTAGTTTAGGCTTTGGCACAAGTGGTCTGTAAGTAGCAGTTTAGAGTTTTGATAATCATCATTGCCTGAAAGCTAGTTTTGGATTTAGGCCCCCGACCTTTTCTTTTGAGATGCTTTTATATTGGACAATAATATGTAGTCCAAATATTCTTGTGACATAAGTGCAGATCAAAATAAATGTATTTTATATTACATTGGAAGGAGGAAAGGTTTATATTTTGCTAATCGTGATTTGAAAACCATAAATGTATATATATGTTATGAATTTTTCTGGTAGTATGTTTCAATGACACCTTTAGCTTTCACACAATCAAGAATAATGTTTTTGTTACTTGTCAGATAAAATGAGAGTCAAAGACAAGAAAGAGCCTCTTCCAAAGTACCAGTAATGACTGCAGAAAAAGAAACTAAATTCCTCTGTGGTAATTAAGAGGAGTCACCCCAGTAGTGAAAAGGCTAAGACTATTTTTTCATACTGCATAGCCAATGTGTCTACATCAAATAAAATTTCAAAGTGATGTAATGATTTCTACACTCAAAGCAAAGGTTCTTTGAAGAATAAAAAAAATAAGAACCCTATTTTAAGGAGCAAGCAGTACCTGTGTGAAAATTAAAAGATAGACTTTAAAATCCAACAGACTTGACTTTCATTCTTGCCTTTGCCTCTTCACAGTGTAACACCGAGTAACTTATTTGATCTATACCTCAGCTTTCGCATTTATAAAAATTGGGATACCCAGAACAACTTACTGAAGCAAAATGTGTAGATTTTATTGTGCCTGGCAAAGAGCAGATGCCCCACTTCTGTACTTCTCCCAAACAATTCCCATCTCTTTGCCTGGCTAACTGTCATCCCCTTCACTTAAATTTAATATAACTTCTTCAGGAAAGCCTTCTCGGAGTCCCCAGACTTAATTAGAATCTTGGATTACACTCTTTTATAGCACATTGTGTATCTTCTCTATGATTTTTATGATTTTAATTAATTATGTCACTAATATTATAAATATCAGAAGGACACAGACTATGCTTTTCTTGTATTCCCAGTGTCTAGGGAGTATGTGTTCTGATTACTGTATATTAGATTCACAAAAAATAATTATTGAATGTGTTACTTATTAGTGCACATAAAATTTAAGGTGACTAGCACAGGTCTTGATACTTAAATAGGTGGCATTTCAATTAACTAGATAGATAGACAACTAATAAATAAGATTATCATAAGTATGAATTCAGAAGAGAGGGTTTCAGTGAACGCTGAGAAAACTTGATGCTTTATATGGACATTATTCTTAGAAAGAGGCCTGAGATTTGGATGGACAGAGAGGAAAGTCAGTCTATTCAGAAGAGAAAATTCTCAATATTTCAATAAGAATGTCATGCCTTTTCATAGCAATAAGGAGCCTGAGAGACTAAAGCAGACAGAACATGACTAAGAGAGTCTTGGATAATAGCAGAATTCACAACTCCAGTTCCCAAGTTTTCCTTCCTATTCCAAGCTTTGTCATCTTTGTTTTTCCAATGACTAGCCAGCGCTTGTAAGGACTGTACACTAAATGTGTATTTTATGAATGGGTAGAAAGGAAAGAACCAGAGCACATGAAAGTAAGTCCTTTTTGTAATTTTTAATTCCCTTCTTTTTTTTTAATGCTCTCATTCTTTAAGAAAAATCCTTTTACTCTCTCCCTTTTTCTTTTTTCATTTTTGAAATTGTAACCTGAGCACTTTTTTAGGTCATGGTGAACTGTAAGAAAGAATTTAGGGGACAGGTAAATAAATACAAAGTTTCAAATGTATAAGGGTGATCTATAGAATTTTGTGGCCCCCACAACTGCAAAGACAATGCCTAATGTACTATGGGCCATTCAAATATTTTTGCTAATAGATTTTTAGTGTTATTTTATTGACTCTATTACCTTTATCTTTCGGAACTGAAGAAGTCTTCTCAGATTTTTCTTTTCTAATTTCTGCAAGAAGAATCATGAAAAGAAAATGTTACAAGGAATAATAGAGATAAAAATGGCAAGTTTCTTGATGTGTTTTGTTTACTGAGGCCTAAAAAATCAAAGCGGCTCTGAGTTGATATTCAATATACAGAATATATACTGGGATAGGTTCCCCATACGGAAATGAACTAAATATGCAGGAGACAGAAAATAAGCCCATGAATTATTATCACAAGGGGCAAATTATGATAGAGGTACAAATAAAATGGAAAGAGAAGGCAGGGTAAAAATAATAGCCAACATTGTCTTTTTACTATATGTTACAGGAAATGTTCTCTACTGTCTTGTCATTCAACATTTACAAGAACCCTGTAAGGTAGTTAGGTCCCATCATTATTCTTGCTTTTCACATAAAATGAATTAACTTTCCCAAGGTCATATAGCTCTTAAATAGGAGACTTGGAATTTAAGCTGATGCCCCTCTGAACTCAACCACAAAGGTACTGGCTCTAGTAGCTGAATGATGGGGTCAGGAAAGGTTGTGGCAGGTGGTACTGAGGCAGGACTTGGAAGACAGAAAGGAATTAGACCAACAGAGATAGAGTGGAAAGGAAGACACATTTTAGAAGGACACATTTTAAGGAGGCCTGGGCTGGGCGGTCTGTCAGTTCGGCTTTGTGAGTCACTTGTAACCAACAGAATGCAGTGGAAGTGATACTGTGTGACTTCCTAGGCTGAAGCAGGAAAGGCCATGCAGCTCCCACCTGCTCCTCTAGGAACACTAGCCCTGGGGAAGCCAGGTGCCATGTAGGTGCTCTAACCCACACCACTGTGCAGCAAAGGATTCATATAAGCAGTCCAGTCAAGAGCCCAAACTGAGCTCCCAGCCAACAGCCAGCAGCCTTTTCCAGCCATCTAGGCGAGCCAACCTGGCCATTGAGAAGTTGGCTGCTTTAGATGACTAGAGCTCAGGCCTACATCTGACTGCCATCATGTGAGATTGTTGTATCTAAAATGTCATTGCCAAACCCAAGACCACCTAGATTTTCTCTTATGTTATCTTCTAGAAGTTTTATAGCTTTATGTTTAAATTATGCCTATGGTTTCTTAATTTTTTGAGAAGAATGCAGGGTCTGAGTCAGGATTCATTTTTTTCTTCTGCTTGTTGATGTGCACTTATTTAGTACCACTTGTTGATAAGACTATGATTTCTCCATTGGGTTGCTTTTGCTCCTCTGTCAAAGATGTTGACTATATTTTGTGGGTCTGTTTCAATTTGAATATCACACTGTGTTGATAGCCATAGCTTTGTAGTCTTAAAGTCCAGTCTTCTGACTTTATTCTTCTCCTTTAATATTGTCTTTGCTATTTTGGGTCTTCTATTTCTCCATAAAAACTTAAAATTAGGGAGTGGGTGGGGAGAGATTAATCAAAGAACTTACATGCATATATGCATAACCCATGGACACAGACAATAGTGTGGAGAAGGCCTGGGAGGGAGAGCAGATGCAGGGTGGAGAGGATCAATGGGGGAATAAAAGGGGATTTCTGTAATACTCTCAACAATAAAGTTAAATTAAAAAAAAGAAAAAAGAAAAAAACCCCTTAAAATCAGTTTGTTGATATCTACAATATCAGTTTGCTGATTTTCACAGGAATTTTTATTATGATTGCATTGAATCTACAAATCAATTTGGGAAGAACTGACATCTTAATTTTGAATCTGCCTATCCATGAACATGGAACATTTCTCAATTATTTAGTTCTTTTATTTCTTTGACCAGAGCTTTGTTGTTTTTCTCATGTAGATTGTATACATATTTTGGTAGATTTATACCTAAATATTTCTTTCTTTTGGTGCTAATGCAAATTGTACTATAATTTTAACTTTGTTCATTCCAACTTTTCATTCATGGCATATAGAATAGCAATTTACTTTTGTATATTAACTTTGCATCTTACAACCTTGCTATAATCACTAATTAGCTCCAGGTTTTTCTTGATTCCTTGAGATTTTCTACATAGACAATCACATCATATGTGAACAAAGACAGTTTATTTCTTCCTTTCCAATCAGTATACCTTTTATTTTCTTTTCTTGTGTTCACTAGTACTCCTGACACAATGGTGAATAAGTGTGGTTAGAGGGGACACTCTTGCCTTATTTCTTATCTTAGTAGTGAAGCTTCCAGTTTCTCTTCATTAAGTATGATGTTAGCTGTTGGTTTTTTGTAGGTGTTCTATATCAAGTTGAGGAAGTTCTCCTGTATTTCTAGTTTGCTAAAAGATTTTATCATGAATGGGTGTTGGATTTTGTCAAATGATATTCTGTCATTTGTCAAATGATCTACTAACATAGTTTTCATAGTTTTTATGTGTTTCTTCTTTAACTTGTTGATGTGATGGATTACATTAATTTATTTTCCGATGTTGAACCAAGCTTGCATAGTTAGAATTCATCCCACTTGGTCAGGATGTATAATTTTTTATACATTGTTTGAGTTGCTATATTTTAGGTTTCTGTAAACTTTTTTAGAAATCTCCCTAATAGCACTTTAAACTTTCTAATGGAGAAGTACATATAAAAGAAATTTGAAACTCTCAAAAAGGTTTTGTCTGGAGTAAAACAAAAGCTAATGCCCATTCAACAAACTAGATACTGTTCTTCCTGTTTTAAAAAATAAACTTGATTTATTCAATAAATGTTCGGTGTCTCATTTGTGCTGGGAGCTGGAAAAACAAGAGGGCTGCATAAGATGGATGCATCTACATAGACAGATTAAGAACAATGACAGAAATAGATGCACAGGACTCCAGGACCATATCAGAAGGACTGACAAACTCGACCTGACGGAATGGGAAAATGCCTTCCAGAAGCACTGGCATTTGTGTTGGATTCAGAAAATGGATATAAAATTTGCCATCAAAGAAGAGCTGAAAAGACATCTGCAATATAAGGGACTATATAAGCAAACCACGGAGTGTGAAATTCATGTGACTGGATGGCTGGATATACAAAGTGGGAGAGAAGTACTGAGCCAAGGCTGTAAAATCACACTGAGGATTGGTGGTGAAGGAGCCTGAAGTACCCTCTTAAATTTTTTTTAAAAATTGATTTTAGAGGAAAGAGGAAGGGAGAGGGAAAGGGGGGAGGGGGGAGAGAGAGGAAGAGAGAAACATCAATGTGAGAGAGAAACATCCAGCCGTTACCTCTTGTATGCACCCTGGTGGGGGATCAAACCTGCAACCTGGGAATGTTTCCTGACCAGGAATTGAACCCGGGACCAACTGAGCCACACTGGTCAGGGTCTAAATTTTTAACTTTATATCCTTCCAGTGACAAGTAGTCTTAGATTCTAAAGGTAAACACTTTTTCTGCCATTGTGTTAATTTATTAAGAAAATTTTGCTCTTAAGAGAATATGATACATACTGAATGTACTGACAACACATAGAAAGTCATTGTCATTTTGTTTGGAAATAGTACAAAATTCAAACCACCCATCACCCACAGTTGTGTTGTCACATTCTCCTGCCTCCAAAAACAATATTTTGTTTTATTTTTTTATAGTTTCTTTTTATGTGGGTGTCATGGGCATAACTTCTATATACTGTGTGCCATTATTACTAATTCTTATAACTAAATTAATATTTAGAGAATCTTCATGTCTTTTAAATGAACATCCAATATTTTGTATGCTTTGTTCTACAGGTGTGCTTTTTGAAATTTAAGTGTAATTAGAATTTTAAATTTAAATAAATACTTCAAATATCATATTTTATTAAGTAGATTTATATAATATTTTAAAATATTGTTTTACTTTAGAATCTGAATCTGACTTTCCTGCTTGTATTTTTGTATGGGTTGTACTTACAATCAGAAAAATAAGTCTATTCTTTGGCATTTGGGGCAAAGTAGAAATGTCACAGGCATGGGAGGCATTTCTTACAAATGAGAATTAGACAATAATATTTGGAAAGTCCTCTAGAGATTGCTTGGTCAAATAATCTTGGCTTATAAAAGAGGCTTTCCAAGGCAAGTAAGGAGCCTAACATCACAGACTAAATTCCTGGAAGGGCTAGACCATGACATAAGTTTTATTTTGAAAAAGCTCTATACTCTATAGTTCAAGCAGGTTAATATTTCTAATCATCATTGGCTTTCATCAGTTATTTCATTTTCAAGGACCAACAATACAAATGCAAACTCCAAGTTAAAAATTGTTCACTGAGATTTTCATTGCCAAGACTCTTAATGAGAATATAGATGCTTTTTATGGGTTGTCTGACCCCGTATCTCTTTCTCACATAAAAATCAACTGAAATTAAATCCAGACTTTGCAAATTATAATGATGAAGTGATCTTTAATTTACATGTTGCCATTTCATAATTCTAAGGAAAGATATGAATTGAATTTTTAGTTTTTTAAAAATTGCTTTCAATTAGCATATAATACAACATTCTATGAAAAACTGGGGGCAGTAATAGTCACTAAAGTATGAATAAACTTTTCGTATAATGCTGATAAAATTTTCATGTTCATTCCTGAAATTATTTGACCTAAACTTTGTAATTTTATTTACAATGATAAGAAAGCAACAGTGCATTTTTGTGTAGGGCTGGTGATTTCATATGCTTTCTGTAATTTGATTTCTAGAGAATGAAGCTTAAACTTTGTGAATTTGTTTCAGAATATTACATCATAGTTGATTTTAAGTAATTTTATTCAATAGAGTGGATGCCAAATTTTCTTTCTTAAACAGGCCCTTAGTAGAAAATGAAAGGAGAATGTTAATAAAAAAATTTCTTGAAAAACAATCTTTGTTCTAGCTACTCAGCTTTGTAACATAAATTTCTAAGGGATAAAAGAGAACAAACCCAAATGTGACTTCAGGATAATAGCAGGAGTGAAAGTGAGTAATATAGAAAAATAGAGCCATAATTAACACCTTAAGGCTCCTGAACTTGTGAGGAGGCATTTTCTTGGTGTGTTAGATGGTAAACACTGACATGCATTTCCA